TGGTCGCTGTCGGAGTCGGGTTAGCGACCTTGAATGAGTGGCGCATCGCCACTGGCTTCAATCGAAACATCACATCCTTCCGACAGGTTCTGCACAGTTTGACTTCTAGTCCTGGAGATGCCGAGAAAATGGTACAATGCACCTGGGTTGCTTTCGGCCTTATACGAACAAGCTTGCAATGCGGGACAGACCAGAATAAAGCGAGTATGATCCCAGAGTTGGAATTTGTTGACAACAAACTTTTCAAGGGACTCAGAATTGATGGAAATCTCCGGTCCATGCCCATTCCAAACTCCTGCGAGCATTTCTCCGAATAGTTCTTCTCCCACTTTGTCATGGCAAGGGGTACTTTCCAAACAGAGACTAGTGAGGCCGACCCAACCTTGAATCAGCTTGGACAAGATATGTTTGTGGATGTCGAATGGAGGAAGACTGGTGGCTTCTCTCTTTGGTTGGATGTCAAAGGACATCTTAACGTGTTTGACTGATTCGTGGCGGAGCAGCACTGGATTGAATCCAGAATGCTCTTCCAAACCCTTGCAATGGTCATTCATAACCTTTAGATCTTCCAAAGAGATACGTATGGATAGAGTTTCGAGATTGGGACACTGCTCCGCAAGATTGCTTTCGAAGTCACACTGCAGACTTGGTGTCGACTTCGATTTGGGACCATGAACGAGATTTGAGACGGTGAACGAGTGAGGTGGTGAGATGATACTCAAGCGAAAACCACAACTTACCGCATACGTTAACTGGGTAGTATTGCATTCCAAGAGCGTTTGTTTGATAAGGTTGAACTTGAATTCGTCAATGTTGTTTTTTGTGCACTGAATGCCCCAAAGTTTCACTTTGTGATTGCAAAGCCACATGACAGCAGGGATTTCCCTTTCCACAAGATCATCAAAGTCCACGAGAACACGAAAGCAAAAGTGGGCCACTAGTCGATCCATTAGTTTCTTCCAGTCAGGACTGACCAAAGCCATGCTGTTACAAAATTTTGCCAGCGCCATAGGACTTGTTGTTTCGATTCTTGTTCCACCAACAGTAATTTCCTCTTGTGGCCCAACAAATTCCATCACCTGGAACATGCAGATATCTGGTAGGAAGGAGGCCGGGTTGGCTGGGTTAGACTTGGAGGGAACAGAAGCCGCCATTGTGCTATCGTTGGGATAATATATCGTAGGGACTGATGTTTTTATGCAGTCGTCGAGGAAAAGAAAATCTTTGTTTCGGCTGTGGCGAGGAGAGTAGTCGAGTCGGAATTCCTCGATCCTAGTTCCACAGTTAGTTGTCGAACCCCGCAATGAAAACAAACCACGCGGGAGCCAACGGGTGATTTGTTTCGCTGAGTTGACTTGGTACCACTAGTAGATAGCTAGTACTGTAGTATGACGGCATTTGTAGTGCCGGTCAACTAAAGCAATACAGTTGATGGGATTTTGGACTGCAACAATGCTCCACAGGAGTATGCTTGTACCGTTCTGGCTATGATAGTAGTACATACATTGTAGCCTTGTGAAGATTGGTGACCGTCACTCTAATTTTCCTTGGTTATCCGTATTTTTTAACGGCTTGCTTGGATTCTCTTGTCGCCCGGCTCGAACTTTTAAATTCGTTGTTTCAAGGTTAGGTTTACGGTGTACAGTTTCAATCCTGGGACCAATCTGAATAACGAGAATTCGAGTGAGTGACAGCTATGACATACGGTACTGCCGGTACAGTGCAAACTATCCGGGGTAATAGTGGTTGGGCGGGCCAACATAGCTGTACCTGCAAAAACAAACCAAGACAAACACCACGCAGGTCCGGAGTCTAGATTAAATTTTTACCAAAGAGTTGACTCGACTCGGTGTGCGTTGAGAGCTGTGTGGGTGTGTGTGTTCCAGTGTGTCACTCTGTCACTCTGCGGCTTAGAGGGAAGAGCACTTTTTACCAGTAAACCTTCAAGTTACCGGTAAGCACAAACGTCCATTCGGAAGGTCTTTAACTAAGACATTGAGAGACATCAGATTCTTTGGTGTGGGCTTTTCAACCTCTTCGAACAGCTCTTCGAACCATAAGCCAATAAAAAATGAAAAGAGTGCGATGCCGGGACAGCAGGAACAAAAGCTTTCTGAGTTTGTCACACCTGTGTTCTTTTTCATTAGATTTATTAGATTTTTCTAAAGCCCTTCTTCCTTGTGGACTGTCTACTTAACAAAATTCAACATCCAGCATTATCGTCAGATCAAAGCCCGTAAACATCGGCGAACGCTCTCGCTGAACGTCGCGTTAAAAGTTTCGAGAAGTGGTTGAACTGGTATTGCCCGTTCGGTTCGCCCATCCACAGGCCTTCAGCAGCTCCTCCATCACAACACAAATTTTTACCCTTCCGTCTTTAATCGTCGAACAGCTCGTCGGACCAATTGACCATTGGTCGACCAGTACCACCCACGCAGTTTGCTGTTGCAACCAGTTTGTTGTCTGTGTTTGTTTGTTATCCATTGGTACCATACTCGAGCATACCCATTATTATACCCACAATGACATCTACCATGACCAAGTGGCTTTCCTCCTTCTTCTTGACTACCACCGACACGAGCGAGGACTCGGAAACGGAGGAGGAGTTTCTTGGCGATTGTTCGATTCGATCCGCGAGTGTTCTAATGAATGGAATTCACGACGACGATTCCCAGATTGTTCACATTCGAAGGATTATCGAAGAAGAAGAAGAAGAGGACGAGTTAGTGGTCGATTTGGAAGCAGTGATGGAAGAAACACCTCACTCGTCGCCAACGGACGACAGACTACCCGTGGTTAGCATGAACGGCAAGCCACCGACTGTTGAGTCCAGCAAGAAGAAGAACAAGAAGAAGAGGACCACCCAGAAGCAACCCAGCATGGAATACGATATCGAAGCCCACGTCACCACCACCACCACGACAAACAAAAAGAAGAAGAAGCGTCCAAGCTTGACCGCGGGAGACTGGACTTTGCTAAAGGACAACTACGACAACTTTACTCACGACCTCATGGTTCGCGTGGGAATATGCATCTTTGTCCCCATCGTCGTCATCGTCCTGATTCTCATCTTGGTCACTCGAGGGTGATGTGAAGCAAGATGCTTTCTTTGGCCCGCGGTTAAGTTGACGCGTCAGTTAGGGAGCCCTCTTGAGGGCTCCCTCCAGAACTCTATCTTTCTCTTCCTACCCTCCAATGAAACCATTCCAAGCGACCCATATCTTTACTATCAGGGCAGCCGTTTTAATCGGGTCGCATCTCAGATGACAAAAGGGGAATTTCTTCCTCCTCCCAAGGGACTTCTGCTACAGCTCATTACAAAGCTAGCTTTGTTCAGAAGCCATCGCGGTACTCGTTGTACATGGCGTCTTCTGAACAGTCGGGGCAAGCTGTCTTTCTTCCCTTCCTCTGTACTTTTACTCTTTAGTCTAGGGAATCCATAACTCATATACATTCATTCTGCATCTATCTGATAAGGAACAAACGATCATCCATGGGTCTACTGGCTGCCGGTAGCTAGCTACTGTATATAGCTACATGTATGTACTAGCTAGTAGACTCGACGAGCCAGCTACAGTCGAAGCGTACGAACATACATTCGTTCGAATCCCGACGAGAGAGATGACGACGACTAGCTAGACTCTAAGCTGCTGAAAATGCACGATCTGTGGATCGAAGCAGACCGGTACCCGCCCGCGTAGCTGCGGTTTGTTGCACTTCGACGTACGGTTCGTTACCTCATTTATTTCCAGATACCGCAGGAGGAGCGATCGGGCAGAAGTCTGCAACGTTCATGCGCAGTGTTGGTTTGCGGGAGCGTTCACCAGTGGACTTCCTGCGGCCAAGCAGCACGTCCACACCGTCATCGTCTCTGGGTCGCTGCCTCACATCAACTATGATAGTAACTGCATCAGGACAACCTTCAACTACTAGCCATAGCTAACTAGCAGAAAGTAATCTGCATTGTAGTGCCCGAGAGCAACTTCAATAATCTTATGTATTATTACACTGGTTGGCAAGCATAAAGTGGATAGCCGGTTTGGCCAGTATACGTGTAGGGAGAGGGTGAATATGTGACACTGCTTCGTGCTGTGCAATGAGAAACCCCGGGTGATGAACCGGTTGTTTCTAAGCCACTCCCCCAGGTGAACGCTGCACAGATAGCAGTGCCAAATTGGGCAACACAGGCACTGTAACAGTTGGAAATGGAAGAGTGTTGATTACAGCCAGGATTAACGCATATATCTGGACCCACATAGTAGTACTTTAGGCAACAAAATCCCGCGAAGTGGCTGGTTGAGCACCCTGGAACCGGATTAACAGGTTGTGCTGTTGGCTGGTTGGTGGGCTGAGGGGTAGGTGGGTTGGTTGGTGCCTTGGGGTGATTGGATGGATTGGTTGAAGGTACATCCGATGGTGACACCGTAGGCAAGTCAGAGGGGGGATGGCTTGGGCTTTTGGAAGGCACATCAGATGGAGCAATGCTGGGACTTGAGGATGGACGATCAGAAGGGCTGATGCTGGGAGTTTGGATGGTTTATCTGATGGGCTTATAGAAGGCAACATTGATGGACTTGATGACGGTGTTGTTGAGGGTACCCCAGAAGGACTTGAGCTTGGATTCGTGGAAGGAAATGAAGATGGACTGATGCTTGGTCTTGTGGATGGGCTGTCTGAGGGGCTGATGCTGGGGAGCTTGGATGGTCTAGCTGATGGAATCAAGGAAGGCAAAGAAGACGGACTATTACTGGGTCTTGAGGATGGACTGTCAGAAGGGCTGGCGCTAGGAAGCACGGATGGTCTGTCTGATGGGCTGAGAGAAGGCAGAGAAGATGGACTCGTACTGGGAATTTCAGATGGGCTGTTTGAAGGGCTGAGGCTGGGGAGCTTGGATGGAATATCTGATGGACTCGAGGATGGAAAAGAAGATGGACCAACACTTGGACTTTCTGAAGGCATATCAGAGGGACTGATACTAGGGCTAGATGATGGGATATCAGAAGGAGTGATGCTCGGTATGATCGAGGGACTACCTGAAGGGCTTGAGCTGGGAATCATGGAGGGTGCATTGGAGGGGTTGGTGGGAGGATTTTCTGATGGGCTTATGCCTATGCCAGGGTCCCGGGATGGCATACTTGATGGTACACCTGAAGGGTTCAAGCTTGGATACACGCTGGGTCTGCTTGATGGACCAAGACTTGAGATTGATGGTGGTTTATTGGAAGGACTCATGCTTGGGTTTCCCGAGGGAACATGAGAGGGGCTATTTGAAGGCAACGCACTTTTTTCAGTGCTTTCACTTGGCCTCACAGATGGGCTCGTTGTTGGCGCTGTTGATTGGCTAATGCTTGGTAAGCTGCTTACACTAGGGCTCGCTGATGGGGTTGATGATGGAGAGCTAGAAAGGGTTGGGCTGATAGTGGGATTGCCTGGGGCGACAGAAGGCAAGGAGGAAGGGGTGGATGTTGAGTTTCTTGAAGGGGTTTCAGAAGGACCCAAAGTTGGGTTTGACAATGGAGCTCTGGATGGTGATACAGATGGGCTCTGCGATGGTATTGTTGATGGCAGCATCGATGGTATTCCTGATGGATGCCTGGATGGGTTTGCTGTTATTGGGCTGGCAGTTGGAGCTGCCGGTGTCACTGTTGGTAGAGCAGAAGGTGATGCTGTAGGCTGTGTCGTGGGTTTGTTAGAAGGACTGCCGCTGGGGTTGTCTGATTCCACGCTGGTTGGAATTACTGATGGTGCAGTTGATGTCATAAGCGAGGGTATTGCTGAAGGCTCTTTTGAGGGAATCCCTGATGGGTATCCAGAGGGAGCTGTCGAAGGAGAAGAACTTGTTGGGTTTAGTGTGGGATTTCCTGATGTCACTGTCGGTACTGATGAAGGTGAAGATGTTGGTTGATTTGAAGGAATAGTTGAGGGTTGAGTGGACGGGATGCTGGTGAGATAACTAGATGGCAAGCTGGATGGAATCGAAGAGGGTGTTTTTGAAGGTTGGAATGAAAGGCCAGCAGTTGGGTTGTTGGATGGCACAGTTGATATGAAACCAGCGAGGACTGATGTAGCACTGACTCCAGCTGTGTTGAGGGCACTTGTATATTGTTCCAGGAAAAAAGCCTCTTGATCAGCAACAATGAGATTGCTCCCTGGAGCCTGGATGGCTGTAATTATGAAACCAACAGAAGCAGTCTGAAGGTGTCTTCTACCCCAAGGCTGGTTGCTATGTACTGTGGCAATGCCTGCATTGATCCCTGGCCTGCTTGAGAGATCAACACGCTCTATTCTAGGTGGGCAAGGACCAGCTTCATGTATGGCACCTAGTGCTGTGGCGAAGGCTGCAATCAATGCTGTATCCCCCACAGCAGTGATGTCTCCAGTTAGATCAATCGTGTATGTGGATTGCACTGAAACGGATGTGAACCTGCATGAAGAGGGTGATGTGCTAGGTAGCAAACTGTATGTTTTGCTGGGGGATGAACTTGGCAAAGCTGATGTGCTGGGTATAACACTCGGCATGATGCTTTCGCCGGAGCGGTTGATGCTTGGAGCAATACTTGACACAGTTGATGTGGTGGGAAAGTGACTTGGCATCGAGCTGTCACTAGCGCTGGTAGTGCTTGGAACCAAACTTGGCTCAGTTGATTTACTCGATAGCACACTTGGCACAACACTGCCACCAACACTGGGACTTGCACTTGGCGCCGTGCTGGGCCCATAAGATGTGCCTGGAGGATTGCTTGGGATGATGATTGGGTCTCCGGTCTGAGGAGGCTGGCTTGGCAAGACACTTGAGTCCATTGTGGGTGTGTTACTGGCTGCTGTGGGATTGTTTGTTGTTTGAAGAGTGGGCTCATTTGTTGGTGGTGGAGTCGGTGAAATTGTCGGCAACAGAGTGGGCTCATCTGTTGGCGGTGGACTCGGGGGAGCTGTTGGGAGAAGTGTGGGTTCATCTGTTGGTGACAGAGTTGGTGAATTTGAGGGGACAAACGTCGGCTCACCAGTTGGGAGAAGCGTGGGATCATCAGTTGGGGATAGTGTTGGAACACTAGTGGCAGAGAGAGAAATGGGAGAGGAAAGCGATGGCCCATTAGAAGAAGACACAGCAGGGCCACCAGAAGAGTAGACTGTTGGATCATCGGTAGGGTTGTTTGTTGATGACATGAACAAAGATGGAGTTTTGCCTGGCATAGTAACCACTGATGGAGCACTGTTAGTTGTACTTGGTGAGTCTCCAGGTGGGGCTGAAGGATGTGTAGAAGAATGTGTAGAAGAATGTGTTGAAGCCGCAGTTGCAGTTCCAGCATTGTCAACTCCAGAAGTTGGGATACCAGCAGTTGGCTTTGCATTGGGGCCACCAGGAGACATATCAGGAATGCTAGTAGCAGGAGTCAGAGTTGCCATTGTTGGTCCCACAGCACCTTGCCCCAGAGGCACTGGTGGAGGTCTACTTGTGGGGTCGATGCTGGGGCCTACATGCATACCTGCAGGGCTACCATTGCTTGGAGCAGAAGCAGGGTTGCCTGCTGTTATTGTAGGTGTAGCTGTTGGTGGACCACCTGGCAAACTCTCTGGGGTCACAACAGTAGTACCAGTAGTAGGAATGCTGCTAGGGCTTCCAGGTAACACTGTTGGGATCACACTGGTTGAAGTAGAGCTAGGGTTGCCTGCTGTAACAGTTGGTACTGATGTCGACAGGCTTGCAGAGGGATTCCCAGGTGTCACAGTGGGAGAACCAGTTGTGGGACTACTGCTGGGATTTCCAGGTACTACAGTAGGACTCACTCTGGTTTGAGCAGAGCTAGGATTGCCTGCTGCCACTGTAGGGGCAGATGTCATGGGACTTGCTGATGGACTTCCTGGTGACACAGTTGGAGTTTCTACTGTGGGGTTGATAGTGGGATCCACCTCAGGAGAAGGGGTAGGGTTATTGGTTGGCAGGGGGTTTGGTTCAGCCGTTGGGGTTTCTTGGTCACCACCAGCAGAACCTCCTTGAGTTTGGAGCTGGATTTCAGCAGCAGTTTCACTGATAGTCATAGCACTCTGTCTGTCACCAGCTCCACCATCACCACTGAAGCCTCCATTTCCACTTCCACTGCCACTTCCCTCAGCTCCAATGCTTCCAGCCGCTTCCAGCACTTTCTCTGAGGATGCTATGACAGCTGGCAAGATCTCCTGGCAGTCATTGGAGCTTGGGTTTTCCAAGCATGCTCCCAAAGTTTCAACATCAATACCTGTGTCATCCAGTACATTCTTGCAGAACTCAGATTGGCCATTCTCTGTTGAGGATTCTTCAACACACTCCTCAATGCTTGACAGCTCAATTTTGACGAAAGGAGTCCGGATTGTCCCATTGTTGGCTTCTATCAGCTCCATGGCTTGTGCAATTATTGTGCCTCCAATTGCATTCACAGGCTGGGCTTCTACGTCGACCACGCCGTCTGGAGCTACAGCTTTTGTGGTTCCAAAGATGACTGCAGACAGAAAGCCATCAGCACTCTCTTGAGAGCCATTGGCACCAACAACGCTGAGATCTACATTTTGTCCGCCCTTCTGCAGAGTGCTGTCAATGTTGAATCCAAAGGAAGCAGCAAAAAGAGGAAAGAATTCAGCCATGTCAAAGTTGCGGGTGCCAAATATATTCTGCAGTCTTCGGTGGAAATATGCATGCTGATGCTCCATGATACTACAGGAACGTGCCAACTGTCGCCTTCCTCTGGCAGTGGAGTCAGGTTCAGAGGGGAGTTCAAATAATGGTTCATGATCTGGACAACCAACACAACCAACATAGGCCATCCAAGATGTTGTTGTGATACTGTTGGCTACCAATTCACTATACTCTTCAAAAGATGTATTTGTGCGGTAGAGCCATTCCGCATATGGGTCGAGCTTCTCTTCAGGAACTGCTGGCACCTGTCCTTGCAATGGAAGAGATCGATCGTTGTCTGCTGTGAAGTTGGCAGCTAAAGAGCTGTTCATGTTGAGAACAGAGCCATTGGTAGAGTCTGCATAAAGCAGAGATGCATTCATTCCAAGTTCAGTGTAGTTGGTAGCCTTGCCGAGCTCATCTTCCAGGTCACCAAAATAGCCAGGGAGAAATATGCTGTGGGTTCTATTTGTGGTGAAGTTGCCCCAGTCAGTTTCCCAGTCAATGACCTCTGCAGAATGCAAGACACGATAGTACTGGTCCAAACACATACCCTTGCAATTTCAAATGTTCCATATTAGCTCAACTGACCATTTACTCATTTGCACAAAAGGATGGGCATGAACTTACAGTAATCTCATTGTAGATATCACGGAAGAGAATCTCAAGTAACTGCTTCTTGCGAGGATCAAACAAGGTATCAGGAGGCATTCCCTTGATTTGGAGCTCTAGGAACCCAACCTTTAGCAGCGACTGATCAGAGCATTCCGGTGGCACGAAATCATTATTGATTGGGGGCAGTGGGGGAGGTGCAGGGGCTGGCACCGGTGTGGAAGCTCCACTGGATACTGCAACAGCCGCTACTGCCGCTGATTTCCAACAAGAGAAATAGTGTAGAAAGAACAGCGAGTTAGTGATGAATGGGACAACTTCTGAAATGTTCCTTTGATAATTCTTCTTACCCACACCTACTGCGACCCCAACCTGGACCACTGCTCCTGCACCGGCAGCTGCGCCGGCCAACCCAGCAACACTGGACAAACCTATGCAAAGAAGTCAATTCACAATGTAAGTAAGAACAAAAACATCACTGCGTGAAGTTGCAATACCATTCATACCTCCAGCAGCAGCTCCTGCTGCCCCAGCACTAGCGGCTCCGGAAGCAGAAGCACTGGCAACACCTTGTGCCTGCAAAATTGTCCAAAGTTTGGATATAAGAAAGAAGATTGAGCGAGGACAGGAGAGGACAGTCAGACCACTGGCAATGGAAATAGACGTACTGCAGACGAAGCCATTTCTGCTACTCCAGGAGGCGGACCAGCCACTCCACCAGGAGGAGCCGGCCCTGCCATTCCTCCTCCCCCCATTCCGGCACCACTACCACCGCCGCCGCCTCCACCTCCTCCTCCATGACCAGCTGTTTGCATGGATGCACAATTCTGAGATAATAAGTTTGTTGCTCCGGGATCTGCAGCATCCACCAGTTCCTCTGCAAGATCTTCCAATCCAGCATCACCTTCATTATCGTTGCTACCACGCCCAAGCTTTTTGAGAAACCAGTTATACATCCTAGACATGATCCCCAAGAATCTTTGGAAGAGGTCACTTTGAATGTATCCCAGCAAGAATCCTCGGAATCCATCCTGTATCGCTTCCTCCCTCATTTCTGCTGAATCTATGGATCCAGTGTCTTCGTCGCCGACAAAGCTACCCGACTCATTATTCTCATTCTCCCCGTTTGCAAAGTCCTCGTCCTCGTCCTCCTCGTCGTCGTCGTCGTCGTCGGGGTTTGCTTCTTCGTCCGATTGTTCCTTGTCGTCTTCACTGCCTGCTTCTCCCCCCAAACGGCCATTTCCATTCATCCCGTCTGGGTCAATACCAGACTCCATTGCTACCCAGTCAACATCGGCTTGCCTGGGTGTTTCAATGCCCAAGTCGATGCTGTCGTTACGGTCGGCGTTGCGGTTCATCGTACGTGTTTCATCGTCTTCGTCGCCAAGAACGCCGTCTTCTACAGTGATGAAAGGGTCCTCATCATCATGTTCTTGGCCTGAGTTTCCGCTTTCAGCGCTATCGGTTCGCTTGATAACGGCACTGCGCGCCATGGTTCAGATGCACTAATACTGATCGTCAACTAATGTTGTTTGTGTCCTGTGTTCTGTCATAGCGCTTTGAGCCGAGTGGGTTGGGGTCTGTGTGTTGTTCTGTACGGTACCAAGAACCCTTCCGGAAACTGGTTGACCCTCGTTCTCACTGTAGAAGAGTGTCCCTGGTGGGACCCCAGCAACCGGAAGTAGGTCGTACGAGTAGAGTACCACTGGAAAATCTTTGCAGGTAGCTCCAATCTTTTACATGTTATGTAGCGTCATTGATGGAACCCCCTTCGATTTCCACCAAATCGTCATGGAGCTCATTGGCGCTCACATTTCGCAACAACGAATGATTCGTCGCATCCAAACATTCTCAGAGCATCAAATCCTTCAATTCTTGTCAAGAACGGCATCCCTGGTGTCAAAAACTTGAAGCTTGCCGATCGGATCCAACTTGAAGAGAGAATGAATTCGCAAATGTGGAATGGGATCGATTGGTCTCTGCCTAAGGAGCATGAATATTGAAGAGAAAGTTCGTTCCAAGCTCCCAAGCTCCGGGAATATGGAAGCCCCCATGCAGCGACAGTATTGGTTTCTGGCGAGCCAACACTTGCCCTTCAGTACAGTTTCTGGTGACATCGCATGTAATTGCCACTCGACTTGTCTTCGTTGCGTGGATGCCAGGCAGGCTGCCAGATAGGTCTGAACAGAGGCGCCATTGGAAGGCAAGATGGAAGAATGGTGACTACTGACCCCGACACACAATCTGCACACACATCTTCACCAGTTGATCCTGCACTTGTACACTCCCGCTGTCTGAGAATAGTGATTGCGCTGATACCCTGAATGACTGCAGGGGGAAGGTATCAGGATGCAGGACGGGTAGCTGTGCCTCCTATTCAGACGATATACAACGCACTTTTTCAATCCTTGTTGATGCTGTGCTTAGCTCTCTTCAGTTATTTACAATACAGTGGTTGTTCAGGGAAAAAGACTTTTCGAACTCATAGCGTTGCTTCAGGGCTGCTTTCAATTTGGTCAACATTCTTTCATTGGCTTCTTCCACTGTGGGAACCAAGAAAGCATCCCCCATGTGCCCATCAAACTTGTACCCAACATTGATTTGCGAGCTGACTTCTTTGGGCACAATCTTCTTCAAGAAAGAGAAAAATATAGTGGCAAAAAATCCAGTATGGAATTGCCGTGCTTCTCCAAAGAAAGGGAAAACCCCCAAGAATTCTTCAAAGAATCTGTTGCTGTGCTTCATGGCGTCTCGTTGCAGTGTCAATCCCTCGCATTCTATCAGTACAATGATGCCTTTCCGGATGGATTCAATATCCGGATGCATGAGATAGTGAATGTACATCCAACCACGCGTCCAATCTTCGGCCATTTGATGTGATGTGAATATCTTTGGGTCGAACTTGACCAAGTCATGGACAAAGACATAGATCCCATCTTTGTCACTAAAGTCAAACATTAAGAATTGTCTGGGAAACATTTCAAATAGTTTCGCCAGATTCCGAACTCCATCTTCGTAGCTATCTAAAACCTTGTATTCTTCTCGAAAGCTTTGCAATCCATAACACCGATGGAGCGCATTCTCAATGTCGTCCTTACAAACAATAGCCAATTGGACATACCACCAATCACTCAAATTGTCGAGATCGGGTGTGCTTTCCACTTGAGCCTTGATTGCCAACGCATTCACATACTCTTGAAACGTTATCTTCATACGATCCTCATGGTTTTGCGGTAGAGTGCGAGACAACTCTTCGTCGGTGAGGAATACTTGTACCCTTTCTTCTTCGCTCATCGTGAGCAGTAAATAGCTTCTTTACCTCGGCAGTCTATCTGCCTGAGCCCTCACCCCCTTTTTTGGTATTTCCTGTTTCCTGCTTCCTGTTTCCTGTTTCCTGCTTCCTGTTTCCTGCTTCCTGTGTTTCCTGCTTCCTGTTTCCTGCTTCCTGTTTCCTGTTCCTGTGAAGCCAAAATATAGGGATAGAGATAGGCACAAGCCAACTCTACAAATTTAGGGGTAGGAATAAATCATGGTTATTCAAGGTTAGTGCACTCAACACAATAAGCCAGAAGAAGCTACATAAGTTACAGGTACATCCGGGAGTGACAGCTGTAAAATTATGGTTAACGGGCGGCAACACACGACTTCGTCGACTTCGTCGGGTGTTGCCGCCCGGGCTACCTTAAAAGAAGGTTATAATGAGGGTCGTGTGTTGTCGCCAGGGCTACCTTGAAAGAAGAGTGCAATCTCAAACATGTCATCCTTCTTCTATCTGTCTTTCTGCCGAGGTATCGCAGCTCCCGCTGACTTATTATGCAACGAATTAATTGTTTCCGATTGTGGGAGGAGGGACGTGGCGTCAAATAAGTGGTGGGTTGCTGGAAGACAACTTAAAAGTCAGGTAGATGTGGTAACATTTATGTTGGATACAAATATTCAGAGTAATCAATAGCTTTAACCCATATTTACCACAACTACTGGTAAAAGCTGTTTTCCTCGTCAAGGTGACGAATATTGGGGGGTGGGCAGGAACTCCAGCCACCAAAGTAAACCATGACCCATGACATTTTTTGAGTATGGGCGGCGAACTTTCCAGGGCTACAGGGAAATCACGTAGGATCGCACCGTAGGCTCTGGAAAGTTGAGAGAGCCAGCCCAATGGATGTGGCTGTTCGGCTGGCAGCACTTGGGGGAGTCCCAGAGCATCCTAGCTCTGATAGAAGCCATTCTTCCCAAAGAGAGCGAGCCATATGGCATGACAATGACATCTCGCAGTAACAACCACTACCACTAATGAAGGCAATGGCGTCGCACCCAAGCAACAGTAACAAACAAACACAAACATCACTAATTAACAAACTACTTTAGCTAGCTAGCTAGCTAGTAGCAAACTAATAATGTAATGGCTACTAATTACTACGGTCGATGTTGTCTCTGCTGCTGTTGCTGTTGCTGTCGTTGCAATTTCTGCTGTAGCTGTTGTTGCTTATCTTTCTTCGTTTGATATTTCTGATAGCGCATTCCGAGTGCCACCACCGTGCCCTTTTGCCTTGATGAAATTGTGCTACCAATTGGTTTCAAGCCAACTTCTATTTCTAACTTCAGCAGCGTCTCCATGCAAGCATGTGCTATCCCGCTCGCCGCTTCTTTTCTCTTGCTCTTGTCACCAATTCCAGTCGGACTCAAAGCAAGTTTATATTCTTCTGATCCAGCAATCTTAGCCAATCGTAAAGCATGAATACACTTTGCCTCGTTTTCTCCTTTCATTGTTGCAGGTATTGGAATTTGGCTGATTGCATTCTACTTAATTGGAGTTATATCCAAGAGAAGTCGTTCAAGCAAAATTCCTTTGCATGATGAGGAATTATTCTGAGCTTGGCGATTGCGCATCAAAAGTGCATTGACATCTTTTGGTTGTTGTCGCTGTACTGATTTGGCGCTTGGTAGCTGTCGGTTGTTGATTGGTTCTGCTGCCTGTTGCGTTGGTTGTTGCTGCCTGCTGTATTGATTGTGGAAGCTGGTTGAACTGAGATCGTGTAATTTGGGGATTGGCAGGTAGCAGTGTGATTGTGATATGGGTATTAGTCGTCTTTTGCTGCTGTGTTGATTCTGAAGCTGGCTGAATTGTGCTGCTGTGGTTGATTCTGGAAGCTGGCTGAATTGTGATCGTGCAACTTGGGGATTGGTAGCTAGCATTGATGGTGATTGCGATATAGAATACTAGTGGTGGTGGTGGTGGTGGTGCATGGCGGTGGTGCTACTATTTTGGCTGTGGTGCTGCAAGCGGTGCTGGAAATGGCAGTGGCAGTGGTGCTGAAGGCAGCTGCGGGTTCATGCAGCGCGAGATGCAATGACTCGCGATCTGAGCAAATTGTCTTCTTTTGTCGTGGTGGGGTTTTGATAAATGACAACTTCTCCTTAGTTCTGACTAGCCATTGCTTTCACTGCTTGTTGTTCCTTTTGAATCGATAGAAGGATTTCTTCAAGTTGTTTTTTTGCATGCTAGTTTGCCTTTGCAATGCTAGCGCTTGATTCAGCTCCTTGGTTTGCTTTTCAATTTGAGCTAACTGAGAACCAACTCGATCTAGCATGGTAGCTGTTTCTACTTCTTAGGCATAGCATCAAAATCATCCCAAATTAAATTGTTTGGATATGCGTCCTCCAGCCTTCTAGAACAGCCCCAGGATGAACCCATTTGTCCGAATTGTATCGAAAAGCTTAGCTCTTTGGGATGCTTGAAAAAGCTTTCTATATACTTTGTTCGTAACACCAAAGTCATCTACCAGAGCAGGAATTGACATAATGAGCACTGCTGTCACTGTGCGAAGAAAAGGTCGTAGATGTCCTCCAGATTGAAGTTGTGGCAGCTGATCAGAGATTGTGTACAACTCGTCAATGAATCTGTCAATCATTCCACTCTCTTCAATTTAAGATCCCAAACACTCAAAAGTTCGGAGGGGTGTAGGGGCAAGGTTATACAGATTCTTGGTAGCCATTTAGAGCTTCTGCCGATGAAATTGATAGAACCAATGCATTCCGATCAATGTAGCTCTCCTGAGAAGTTCCAAATGAGTGACCTGATCGAACATGTGATGCATAATAGTCAATTGCTGAATGAGCAGCAAGGAAGTTGATTGCTCCCTTTCGCATTGATTTAGCAGAGAAGCTGTTGCGAAATTCAGTTGATACCTTGGCTGGAATGAACTTACGAATGGTGCCAGTAAGCTTCTTTGTGACAGAAGAATCACTGATTTTGTGGAGCTTGGGAAACACCATTTGTGCACGTTCGAGCTCATCAGGACGTCTAAACAAGCCGTCTTCCAAGAGATAGTAACAACCCATGGCATGGTACCAGCATACTCTGTAGTTATATCTGTGTGGCATCATTGGCATTGAGTATGTGTTGATAGTTTTGATATCAATCC